TATATCATAATTAGTTTTTACCTATCAATTTATTGTAACTTAATTTTAATAATTAAAAAAAATTAGAAGATTATATTTTTTCATTTTTTTATTTTAATACTTATTAAAAAAACTCGGATGTTGACTTATTTATATCATCATTTTTTATTTTATGTAATTTTTTAGTTACAATAATTTCAAATAATATTTTGTTTAATTTTTAATATATTGTAATTTCTGGTATTATAGTCATTGAAAGTTGAAACTAATAAACATAATATGGTTATTGATAAGGTACTTTTTCAATTTTTATAATACCATAAGATATAATCAAATATGAATCTTAATATTATTTCTAATGATATATAAATTTTAAATCTTAGGATAACATTGTTAGACCTAATACAGAACATCATCCAAATAACGAGATAGATAAACATAACTCTAAAAAGCTAAAGAAAAGAAGATGGAAACAATTAAATCGGTTGAAAAGGAATGTAAGAACCCAACATTAAACAAATCTAATATCAAAGAATCACAACATATGGAAAAAGTTGCGTAAAAGCAGCAAAACAACAATTTGAATGACCTAGAAGAAACTAAAAAAAAATAACTGATTTTAATTCTTGGATGCAATCTTATTCTACAGTTATGAATACATTTACTATTTATTTTTTTATGTACCATATACATTTGAATATTCATCAACAATTGTAATAAATTAATATATTAGTATTATTTACAAGATTTTTTTCTAGAAAATCAACACTCTTTTCTTTTAAATATATGTTTGCAACTATACATAAAAAAATAAAATAAAAAGACCACATAGAAAAATCACATCTCTTCTTTACACTTTCACAATATTGTCTTTCTTCATTTCTATTTATACTTGAAACTGTTATTGTATACTTTGAATTATTTATCAAAATTTGCTTTTCTTTTTTTAATTTTGAATTAGAATTACTAACATACATTTCGACTATAGTCTTTAAATGTATGTGTTACAGTTATCAATTATTTTTAAAAAATTTATTGAAGAAATATTTTTTAAAATTATTTTATACATGTATTAAAATATTTGTAATATAAATACAAATTATAAACAAAAATATATAAAGAAATTATTAAAAATGAGTTTTCGCGCGCAAACGCATAGTAATATAGATCTATGAAATTATAAAATATAAAAATTAAATTAACAAATAACTTTTCAAATTCCTTTCGAAATTCAAATTCAGAATATTATTTCAAATGAGAAAGAAAAAGAGTGAATGAGATTGATGATCATATTATTTCGTTGATCTCACTAAAAATAAGTTAAATAATAAAAGAAAAGCCAATTAAATAAAGTTATTCAATGGAAATACATAAATAATTACATCAGCATGTAAGTATAAGAAAAGGTTTCTTAACAATTAATACATCAAAAATTTTATAAAATAAATAACTTATCAATAGTCTCACATATTTGAAGATAATGAAAAAACAAGATAACATTTTCAATTTAAACAAAAACAATGAGAAATATTAAACAATAAAAAATAATTAAAAATATAAAAATAATATTACTATATAAATATGAAAGTATAAACTTAAAAATTAGATTGTTAATATTATTTGACAAATAGCTTTAATAAAAAAGCTGATGTGTTGCAACTAGAAAAAATTAGTGTAAATTAATGATGACCTGGAAATATGACTTATCAAATTTTTTAAAATAAACAAAATATTTGATTGGTTTAGTTAAAACTAAATAACTCTCATTCTTAAATAAAATTTTTTTTTTATATCATATGTGAATGCATTATCATTATATAACAAGAATTAACAAAAAAAAAATCATCTAAAAACTAAAACTTGATATTTAGCTAACCAAAACAAAATCATACCAAGAAATTAACAAACCAAAAATTGATGATTTATGCTAATTAATGAAGAAATCAATAGAAAAAATTTAACTAACAGATAAGAAAATAGAAAATATTTTTTACAACATGTCAATATAATTAAAATTAAAATCAATATCAAAAAAGTTAAACTAACAATAAGCAAATATTAAAAAAGAAATTAACTTGATATCTATATTAATTATTTAATAAAATCAATTTAAAAAAGTTTAAGTAAAAGAAAGAAAAAACGATCTCTACATGGGATCTGTATTAATGATTTTGGTTAATTCTTGATTTGAAGTTGTCCTTACAATAACTTTCTTCTAATAAGCCTAAGATATTTTTTATAGTCTTTAGTCAACTATTTATCCTAACGTTTATTTAAATACTTTTTATAGTCTTAAGTCAAGTATTTTGTATCCTAGCGTTGATTTAAATATTTTATATAGTCTTTAGTCAAGTACTTTGTATCCTAGCGTTGGTTTAAATATTTGTTATAGTCTTTAGTCTAGTATTTTGTATCCTAGCGTTAATTTAAATATTTTGTATAGTCTTTACTTTAGTCAAGTATTTTGTACTAGTTGATCGACATGCACTGTGCAGGTTTTAAAACATTTTATATGTTCAATTATAATCAATATAATATTGAATATGTTTTATTTGTATATGATTAATTATGTATTTGATAATAAAAAATAACGATAAATTAAATATAAAATATTCTATATTTCAATAGAAAATAAAGATAAAAAATTATAACTAAGATTTTAAAATATTTCTTAAGATAAAAAATATAAATATGATAACTAAATAAACAGGAAAACATTAAAATATATAATAATTTATTTAGTTTTTATTTTTGGTCCTCACACATGTGCAACTATAAATTTTTTTATAGACATAAATAGTTGTAATATTTAAGTATTGATTAATTTTCTTATATATTATGTAAATATTATGTTTATATATATATATATATATATATATATTATTTTAGTATTCAACAACAATCACACAAAATTTTCATATCGTTTTGTATCTTTTGAAATTTTATTTTATTTTTCCTAGCGTTTAAAGTAATATATAATTGCAAATACAAAAATTATATTAAATAAAAATTAAATTTTATAATATATTTTGAATATTATCTATATAATACTTTTTTCTCTTTACATAATATAATCTTGCCAATATATATATTGTAAGTATACATTTTTCCTTGACCTATTGTTAATTAAATCAAAATGAATTCTACCATATTTACTTATCCTAAGAGCGGATAGATGGTTGGTCCGCATATTCGTGCGTACCAACCACCTCACCGCTCTTAGGACGTATAAAGATTTTTTAAAAAAATATAAATTGTCTAACAACTAAAATTAAAATTAGAATGTAATCAAGGTTAACAAAATATATGCACGACAAGTTTGCATTCGAGTTTAACTTTTGCACAATTAATATTTATATCTACAAGTACATTTGTAAGAAAATCGAAGTATGAATTTTATGTGTTAAAAGAAAATAACAAAGTATATGTTTTGTAATATATATTTTTATAATGTATGGTTGATTTTTTAAAAATTATAATTATAAGTATATTTATGCATGTAGGTATGAGTTAGAAATAAGTGAATTGTGATATTTATGTATTTTCTGGTATTTTTCTGGTGTTGGTAAGTTTTTTCTGGTAAGTGAATTGGTAAGTTTTTTCTGGTAAGTGAATTGGTAAGTTTTTTCTGGTATTTTTCGCAAACGTTATGTTTTTACACGATGCAGTTATTGGCGTTTAACAACAATCACGAAAACTATTTCTATCATTTTATATTTAATCAAAGTTTCTTATAGTTTAGCGTTTGATGATATATGGATCTTCAAAAAAAATATAATAATTTTTTTTTTTAAATTCTCTGGTAGCTCTCCGCTCATCTCTTCGTCAAATTTTTTATAATCCGCAATCACTCGCTTCCACAAGCTCTCTCTAATAGAATCGTTTAAACCAATCGGATTTAAACTTATATGTGTATGATTTAAGGGGTAAAATAATATATTTAATATTTGATTGTTATTAAAAATTAAGAGTTGATCTGTTCCTAACTTTAATATACTTGTTAATATAAAATATAATGGATCACAACATATACAAAACTTGATTCATGAAATAATGTTTTAATATGTTAGAAAATATATGCATTAAATAATTAATAAATGTAAGATAATATTTTTAAATATTTCAAATAAAAACTTAAAATTGATCAAAATTATTCGTATATATTTTTTTGCCTTCTTTGACTCATACTTTTTTTTCTTAACATTTAATAATATATTAAACATTAAGATCATATCCAATGTAATTTTCTATTTTGTCTTCTAAAATATAAGTGGACTTCTCTCCAACTTATTTATATTTCACAGGAAAAAAATTGTTATATTTTCCTCTATAATTGGAGGAATAAATAACAACCTTTTTTCTTCTCTAAGTTAGAAGATTTAAAATAAAAGTGGGTTAAAGATATTTTAAACCAAAAATATAGCCTGAGATTTTTACATAAAACTAAAGTCGTAAATATTCATTTTTACTTTTATTCTACTTTTTATTCATATATACAATATTATAGTAAAAAAGTTAGCTAACATGATATTTATAATTTATTTTTCTATCTGTTTATTTATTTTTATTTTTTATATAATTTTAAATTCTTGCTATATAATGAGAATTCATTCATATATGATATAAACCTTTTTTTATTTAAAAATAAAATTTATTTAGTTTTTATTTAACCAATCAAAACATTTCGTTTATTTTAGAAAATTTGTCATGTCACTTTTATAAGATAATATTGTTTTGTACTAATTTTTTGCTAAAGTGATGACACATCACATCAGGTTGGTTTAAATATTTCATAGTCTTTAATCAAGTATTTTGTATCCTAGCGTTGATTTAAATATTTTGTTGTAGTCTTTCGTCAAGTATTTTGTATCCTAGCGCTAGGATACACAAAATATTCTACGTGAAGTGAGAAGCCGCCTTTGTTTATCTCTGTTAGAAACCGGCCGGCTCATTTGTTTTCTAATATAAGTTCCGTGCAAAATCGCTACAAACCAATTTAATATAGACTTAATAGTCGTTAATGAAAACACTATATAGATGGACACAATGCTTCGACTCGTTTTCTTACTAAATTGGTCATTACAAATACATCTCTTTCTTTGTAAGTTGTAACCATGAATTCAAGTTTGCTTTTGGTTACTCAATCGGGTAGCGTTGATGAATTATATTCTCTTCTTCAAAAAGATCCATGTGTTCTTGAGAACGTCGACGTTTTACCTTTCGTCCAGACACCTCTACATGAAGCTTCATCTACCGGGAAGATGAATTTGGCGATGGAACTGATGATTCTAAAGCCATCTTTTGCCAAGAAACTAAACGAGTATGGGTTTAGTCCGTTGCATCTTGCTGTTGAGAACCACCAAGTTGAGTTAGCACGAGAGCTTGTGAAGATTGATCCTAGTCTTGTTCGTATTCCTGGAAGAGGAGGTATCGTTATTTTTAATTTTTTGGGGCAAGATCTTAATTCTTCTTTGGTCTCTGAATTTGTTTCAATAGGTTAACAAAATGTTATTTCAAACATATAGTACAAAGATACATGATGATTGATGATATATTCTAACTTTTATTGGCCATAATTAACGATAGGTATGACAGCATTACATCTTGTGGCAAAGAAAGGTGGCGTCGATCTTCTTACAGAGTTTCTTCAAGCATGTCCTCAGGGCATTAGAGATGCGAATGTGAATGGAGAAACTGCTTTACACATCGCAGTCTTGAACAAAAAATATGAAGAGCTCAAAGTCCTCACAGGGTGGCTACAGAGAAGGCGCAAAAGTGATGCTGCATCCACTGAGGTTTACGTCCTGGACAGACGTGACCGTGAAGGCGACACGGCATTGCATGTAGCGGCGTACCAGAATGATGACAAGGTACACGTTCTTTTTTCTTTCTCAAAACAAAAACTGTCTGAAACTGAAAGTCCCACACTCAACTTTTTTTTATCCCCAACCATTACATGTATATACAGGCAGTAAAACAGCTGTTGAAATGCATGTCTCTGAACCGAAACATCAAGAACAATATTGGTTTGACAGCCCTTGATGTCTCCCGAGCCAATGGCTCTGACACGAACAGATCTACGGCGAAAATCATACAAAAATCAGGGGGTAAAACTGGGAAATCTTTATCCAAAGTTAAGTTACTGTCGGTGGTCTTGAGAACACCGGTCACTTTCAAGGAATATTGCTCAACGGGCTTGGCACGTTATAGGAGCCAAACGCCAGATGGAAGACGGAACGCTCTTCTAGTAATAACAGCTCTCATCATCACAGCTACTTATCAGACAGCAACCCAACCGGCGGACAAAGAGAGAAAAGCATATTGGGACAGTATCAGTTCAGATCCTAATGAGACAGCAGCCCCACCGCCAGTCAAAGGTCCAGAACTAATAGATCCGTTAGATATCTTAAAAGAGCTTGTGCTACTATATGGATTCAATACGACAGCCTTTTTCTTGTCTATTGTGTTGACATATATACTCTTACCAGTTGGTAGAGCATATACTAGGTGGTATATCTTCATTATGGTGCCTCTCGTATTTTCTTATGGACTTTCGGTGTCCATGAAGTATTCTCTCACAATATTCTTCTACATGTATCTGATGGTTGCATTGGGATTTAGCATTTATGTGCTTATCATCTACGTGAGGTGGAAGCTTACTAGACAGAACAAAGTCCCAAATCCTATGAGTGAGCTGAAATCCGAAAGCTTGAAGATCACTGTTTAGCCGCTTCAACCGTTTCTACTTTGTTCCCTTGTATTTTCCATAGCTTTGTACTTTGTTTCCCTGTAAAACTTGTATGTTCCATAGCTTTTTGCGTGCACTCCTTTTGTAAAATACTATAATACGATCTTAAAGATTGTATCGTTTGAATAAAAAATCCATGTGTAAGGAAGAATAAGAAGTGTTTATTTGGTAGATATTTTTTACTTTACCTTATAAAGAAGAAGGGCTCAATACATACGTAAATTCCCAACGCTTAAGCTGAAAGGAGAAACACAACATAGGAATTGTAATCTATGAATCAACAATTTCCTTATAGTTCTCAGGCATATTAGCCAAAGTTTCGTATCAAGAAAGGTTAGACACATTATCAACGGATAATGCAAGTTAGGAAACCAAATGTACGAGGTAACGGATCCACTTACTGACCTTTGCAAAAACAAGTAGATTAACACTAAATAAATTTCATTTTTTTTTATATATATGTGAATGCATTATTATTATATAACAATAATTCAAAATTATAAATAAAAAAATAATAAACGGATAGAAAAAATAATTATAAATATCCTCTTAGCAAACTTTTTTTTATAATACTATATATATAAATAAGAAGTAGAAGTAAAAGTAAAAATAAATTTTTATGATTTTGAATTTTTGTAAAAATTTCAGACTATATTTTTTGGTTTAAAGAATCTATAACCTATCTTTATTTAAATTTCTAATTTAGAGGAAACATAGATATGTTATTTGTAACTCCATAATTGGAGAAAAAAAATAATCTTCTTTTTCTTGTAAAATAGAAATAGGTTGTAGAGAAATTCACATATATTTTAGAGAAAAAAAAATACAAAATACATTGAAGATGATCTTAATGTCTAATATATTATTCAATATTAACAAAAAAAAATATGAGTCAAAGAAGACAAAAAAATAAAGAAGAATAGTTTTGATCGATTTTATGTTTTTATTTAAAATATTTAAAATATTATCTTACAAATATAGATTCTTTCATACATATATTTTTCCAACATACTAAAACATTGTTTCATGAATCAAGTTTTATATATTTTGTGGTCTATTATATTTTATATTAACAAATATATCAAAGTAAGAAACAGAAAAACTCTTAATTTTTAATATAGCAGTCAAATATTAAATATATAATTTTATACCTAAAATCATACATATATAAGTTTAGATCCGACATGTTTAAATGCTCCAGTTACAGAGAGTTTATGGAAGCGAGCGATTGTGGATTATAAAATATTTGACGAAGAGATGAGCGGAGAACTGCTAGAGAATTTTATAAAATACAATTTCATAAACTTTATAATAAATATTTATTATATTTTTTTATTGAGAAACCATATATCATAAAACACTGAAAAATGAAAAAAAAATGTTGATTAAATTCAAAATGATAGAACCGATTTTCGTGATCGTTGTTAAATGCCAAAAACTGCATTTTGTAAAAATATAATGTTTGCGAAAAATATCAGAAAACTAACCAAAACCTAAATATTACAATTCACTTATTTCTAACTCATGCCTATATGCATAAATATACGTATTATTTTTAAAAAAAATTCAACCATATATTATAAAAATATATATTACAAAACATATATTTTATTATTTTCTTTTAACACATAAAAGTCATACTTCAATTTTTTCATAAATATGCATGTAGGTATAAATATTAATTGTGCAAAAGTTAAAGTCACATGCCAACTTGTCATGCATACATTTTGTCAGCCTCGGTTACAATCTAATTTTAATTTTAGTTATTAGATAAAATTTTTAAAAAATCTCTATATATCTTTTAGGGAGCAAATTCTGGGATGACACGTGGGGGTATATCATTCGTCCGGGGAGTAGAGCCGTATTTGCAAGTTTCGTCCTCTGGGGGAAAAGACGACAAGGTGTTCTAGGCGGTCCCGTCAGCGGGTAGTACACATATCCAACCATGCAAACACTACACAAAAGGTCAATCGGGGTCTTCCCTTCCTCTCGAAGGTTCTATGATGCCTAAGTCAATGAACGCCCTATCGGGAACAAGTACTCAGGAGGGTATCTTTACGGATTAGGGTGAGAAGTCTCGTCTGGAGATCGAGACGTCTATCAGTTTACGAGTGTTTCGAGGGGGATTCTATATCGAAAGAGGAAGATTTAGCGATTATAAGGGGGATTATGGGTAAGAAAGGGCTTATCCTGGTGGGGTTCTCTTGATTATGCTGTTCGGCGGTGCCAGTCGGTTCATGATGGTCAGACCTCTTCTCTTCTTCTTGGGTTCCTAGAACGCGGTCTCCTCCATCAGATTCGCTCTTCCCATCCTCTTCTCATATGGGGATCTCTCTCCTTTTATACTGATATTCTCCCTTATCCTGTTCTCTCCATTCGGCGCGCCATAGGAGTAGGTGGACTAATCATTAATACATGTTTGGGGAAGTTCGCCAACTGCCTGGGAACAGTACGCGGGAGTTGTTCGGCCGAGCTAGCGTGACGTGTGTCAGTGTCTAAGACATGTCGATGTCCACATGTCACGTTCTCCTTAGGGGCGGTAAAATCGGTCCCAACAGTTGCCCTCGACTTCTCGACTGATTGAAAAATAAGTTAGGGAGTTGACTTCTCTTGGGTTTCCTGTGCAGTAAACATAAGTAATCCGATTCTCTAGGTATTCCGCCATTAAAGGCTGGGCTGACGTGATGACCTTACCGCATATCCCGGAGATACGGTACTGGCTTGGACAAAGATAAGTTCTTAAGGATGATATTTAAAAATAGGGACTCGTCCAAGCAATGCCATGTATACAGATGGAGTACAGAGTACAATACTAGTGAGGAGATCCGAACTTCCGTGGAAGTAAGAAAAAAGGCATCGACTCCAACTTTGCCACGTATTGAGAAGGAGTACGGTTCTAGTCGGAGGAGCGAACGAGAGAAGATTTTCAATCCTGACCTTATTCGTATATCTCGGAGAAGCACATTATCAGTCAAGAGAATCACAGTTTTGGAAAAGTGAACCGCATAGCGGCTTAATAGATGTCAACTCCGACCTTATTCGCTTCCGGAAAGTACGTTATTGGTCGAAGGACACCTCCGGGGGAGGCGAACTGTGAGACAGTCAAACTAAATATATAGTAAAAGACTCGCCCCATCTTCGTCACACATCTGGTGGAGGAGTACACTGTCGGCCAGGGGAGTTAGGTGATATAGTCCATCTGCAAAAAGAGTGTCCAATACATTCAATAACAAGAGATAGCTCTATGCCGTAAAGAATGCTACCTCTTTGTTAAGCTGAGAAGAAGTTGTAGCAGCCGCAAAACATACATCCTCAGCTGAGATCCTGACTTGCCGCTTGTTCTTGCACTCAGGACTGCTCATCACACTCACACCCCTGCAATGTCAGTAAATTGTTCAGCATATATTGATGTAACAACAGCCTATGGAGGATGGAAGATGAACCAGCTCAGCTCCATTGTCAAGTAATATCTACTATGGCAATGCCTGCCACCCATTACATAAAGATGTGTTCCTTTGCACATGGTGCATGTGATTAATCCAGAGGTTCCACAGTATAATAGACATACAGCTTTGGTAAGTGAAACTGCTAGTTCATTCTCATAAGCTGTGGTTGGGAGACAACGAGCTCGTCATTGTAGTATCCGTGACCTTATCATGTCCATGAGAGTTATCTGCGATATGTCTGATACGAAGAAACATCAAGATCCAAAGCTTTAACTTGGTATTGAGGAACTTGAAATTGTCTAACATTCAAGCTTACACGAAACTAAGCATTGTCACAAGACCTGATTCCATGCCATGGCTAGGAACAGCCTCGCCAAGTTATTGACAAGTTTCGACGGCCTTGTTACTTTGCTATGGGCCGGATAAAAGTCGTAAAACCCAATTTGCTAGATACATACTTAATCCCGAGAGATGGTTAGGGTTTGTACCGTCGGCTTCGATCTTTTGATAACAATGAGTTTCAGACACACCTCGATGATCCATGGAGCTGAATATTCATGTCGCCGGGAGAGGAAATTATGGCCTCGGCGTGAGGTGCGAATACGGGTGAAGAAATGCGGCAATCCGAATTGGTTGATCCTGAGTGGTGAATCTGATGAGCTAGCTTCTTTCTCCGAAACTGAATCTGAAACTCAGGTCAATTTCTATATATTAATTTGTAATTGAATTATAACTTTCCGTCTCGTTTCCGGTCGCTCTCGGCTTATTCATTGATTCTCTTACAAACCTTATTGTCGCAACAGAAAATGTTGTCTGAGGCTACTACCACTACTACTAATACCTCAAGCATGAACACGCAAGATGCTCCTCCTATGAAGTTGGAAGATGTGATTCCTCTACAAGCTTCTTTTAAAAAGATGATGAAGAAGAGGAAGAAGAAGCTCGTCGTCATCAAGCGCAAAGCCAAATAAGGAGCCTTTTTATTCCCCTCTTTTTTTTTTTTTTTTTTTTTAAATCCAATGTTCTTCAATTCAAAAACTTGTGATACCCTTCTGGCTTTATCCTTTCTTCTTGTCTGCGAATCTTGATTTGTAGCTGGATGATCTCTCTATTCATCTTAATTTTGAGAAACTTCTTTAAAACAAAGAACCTTGTGCTGCAAGTTTTATGAAAAGAGAAATCCTATGCTGTGTCATTTGATCCGTAGGAAACCAAAGCTGGTGTCTTGTTCAAACAACGCATAACAATCAGTTTCAAATGGATGTTTGTTTTGTATTTGCAACACGCATCATGATTATGAATCTTTGTAAAACCCATTTTACTCAATTTGCTATAACAGACTTGTGAATTTTGTTGGCTTAACTCGAGCAAAATGTAGACCTTCTAAGTTACAAGAAGTGAGAAAACTTGCTCAATGTTTTGGTTAACAGGTTTGGGACTTCTAAATAAATGATTTTCGTATTCGTACAGAATCAAAATGTAGAAAACTCGAGACTTTTTCGATCGCCTTGTTACTTTGCTCAAAAGGAACCAATTTTGTGGCCTAGAAAATTAAAAATCTGGATTAGCAAATTACATATTTAATCCGAGAGCAAGAAAAATGCTCTTTTCTTTTGTTTAAAAATGCAAACTTCTTTTTTAAAAAAAAAAAGATATTGAAATTTAATGAAAAAATAAAAATTTATTCTCTGAAAGCAGCCAAGAGAAAGCTCGCGAGATAAAAGCTGCGTTTCATTCCCCTGAAAAGCTCGAATCTTTCAATCTCTCTCTTGCTAATCTCTGTACCGCTCTCTGAGAATCAATGGCGGCGGCGGCGATGATTGGGTTTCCGCAGGCGTATCTGGAGAGTAAAGAGGTGAAGGAGACTAGCTCGCTGGTGACTGAGCTCTGCCGTCATTTCTACACCCAAGGTTGGGTTTCTGGAACAGGCGGCAGCATAACGATGAAGGTTCACGATGCTTCAATCCCCAAAGCTGAGCAACTCATCGTCATGTCTCCTTCAGGTTCTCTTTCTCTCTGAATTCCGATTTTGATTCTGAACTTGTAAGGGGTTTTCTCTTGTAGAGATTTGTTCTCGTGGGGTCGTTGTCAATTTGCTATCTGAACTATGCTTGTCGAATATCATTTGTACAATTGATTGTGATTCAATGTTTACTAGTGTTCTTCTCTTTGTACATTTGATTGGCGACGCAATAAGGGAATCTCGCGATTCTGAATCCATTTGTTGTTTTTAATTTTGCGTCGAGGCTCTGCTGATTCTTTGATGTGTGATGAAGGTGTTCAAAAGGAGAGGATGCAACCTGAGGATATGTACATCTTATCCGCTAATGGATCCATCATAACTTCACCTTCTCCAAAGCCATACCCTAATAAGCCTCCCAAGTGTACTGACTGTGCTCCTCTTTTCATGAAGGTTTGCTTTTTTTCACCTTCTCCAAGCTACTGAGACTTGATTCTCCATTTGGGATTTCTGTGTAAACTAGCTTGCTCTACTTCGATATTGGTGAATGGTAATGGAATAGAGTTTTTAAGTGAAACTGTTTTATGTTAAGAAGGATTTCTTTGAGCAACATAGTCATAACCCAAATAGGTTAAGAGCTCGTCGCTCTTTTCTAGTTGTTGTACTTTGTTCTACCTCCCATTTAGCTGGTGATCTTATTCTGGAAAGGCAAATACTTTGATTGCTAATGACTGTTGGATTGCAACCCAAAACAAAAAAAAAGTGCAGAACAGGCGGCTTTCTTTGGGGAAACGCTTGCGAAAACTCGGTTGCAAGGTAAAACTTGTCCAATTTGAGCAATAATCCCCTCGTTGGATGTGTCAGTGGGTTTCCTCGACCCATAGAAACTCCACTGCGTTGCTGTGATAGAATGTGGACTCAGTCAACAAGTCAAGTATTAGAAAATGAATTGATATGTAGAGTTCTATTGATGTTTACCGAGAGAATCTTGAATATGGTGATCTGGTTATAAGTTCTTTCTACTTATCAAAGCATCATCACCTTAGAAAATAAAATAAAGAAGATTTTTCGTGGTTTAGTTGACCAGTGAAAGTGAGATTGGATGATATGTAAAGTTGTAGTAGACATGGAGGTTTCGTAGACATGGATTCAGTCAAGTGTTAGAACGAACACAAAGGGCTCAGAAAATTAAATGATACGTAGAGTTCTATTGATTTTTACACAAACAATCTTGAAGATAGAGGCTTGATTGTAAAGTTCATCTACTTATCAAAGCATTACCTTAGACTTTTCCTTTGAAAGACTTGCATAGTTAATATCTTATTTTCTGCCCTACCAAATTTCCTTGCTGTGCTTGTATAATTTTCCATTTCATTTTTTACCTTTTTGCTATTGTTGTCTTCTCTTCTTTAGTAACAGTGAGGTGGTTGACATTTTTCGAAAAGTTTCATAGCATTGACTTTGTTATACTTTCTAGCGCTTGGTGAAGAACTCTTATGAGGTACTGTTTAACGTTGTGGTGCAGGCATATGAGATGCGAAATGCTGGAGCTGTTATTCACAGTCATGGCATGGAATCTTGTCTTGTGACAATGCTTAATCCACAAGCCAAAGAGTTTCGTGTAAGCCTGAATGTTAGACAATTCCAAGTTCCTAAATATATATGTTAAAACTTTGGATCGTAATGTTTCTTCATATCTGAGATATCGCAGATAACTCACATGGAGATGATAAAAGGGATTCAAGGTCACGGATACTATGACGAGCTCGTTGTCCCAATCATAGAGAACACAGCTTATGAGAATGAGCTAACAGATTCACTTACCAAAGCTGTATGTCTATTTACACCAAGGAAGCTTGAATTGATCATATGCAACAAAAGAACTGAATTTTTCATTAGTTTTGACATATATGGCTCACATTTTTCAGATAGAAGCCTATCCAAAAGCAACAGCAGTGTTGGTACGCAATCACGGAGTTTACATTTGGGGTGATTCTTGGATCCATGCCAAGACTCAGGTTTTGTGAAAGTCACTTTAATGTTTGGTTTAAAGTTGATAAACCAACAATAAGTTCTATATCGTTTCGTTATGTTTTTTCCATATAAACTTTTTCATTCTCAAATCCAGGCTGAATGTTACCATTATCTGTTCGATGCTGCCATCAAGCTTCATCAACTGGGTCTGGATTCCGCTACCCCAGACCATGGCCCTATTCGAAGACCCATACATTCTGTGAAATCCGGAGTCAAGGATTCACAAAACCAAACAGAACCGCCTCAGGTAAAAAAAAGTCAATTGTTTCTATCGTCTTACATGTCACATCACTTGAATCTGTTCTTAATGACACTCTGTTTGGTTGCGCAGCGATGCATTGTCCTCGACATTGAAGGAACAACAACGCCCATAACATTCGTTACAGATGTTCTCTTTCCCTATGCTCGTGAAAACGTTGGGAAGCATTTAAAATTGACATATGACACTGCAGAAACCCAAGAGGATATTAAGTTGCTGCGTGCTCAAGTAATGACAGACTTGAATATCCTCTACAAACTTTCTTTATTGTCTTCTCTCATAAACACGTTAATCTCTTGTATTTGTTTCAGGTTGAAGAAGATTTGAGACAGGGTTTAACCGGCGCTGTTCCTATACCTCATGCTGATGAAGGACAAGACAAGGTCATTGCCGCTGTGGTCTCTAATGTAGAGGCAATGATAAAAGCCGATAGAAAGATCACAGCTTTAAAGGAATTGCAAGTGAGGGAAAACAAAAAACAAGATTCCATCTTTTTTCATTTTTGTTGATTTTGATAATATCTGATATGAGTATATGAAAACAAATGTATGCAGGGTCACATATGGCGAACGGGTTTTGAGTGTAACGAACTGAAATCTGTTGTTTTCGAGGATGTAGCAGAGGCTTTACAGAAATGGCATTCTTCGGGAATTAAGGTTTGTTCATGTTAGCTTTTAGAGGAATGGCGTTTTCTTTCTTCGTAGGTCTAATTTTTGTTGATGTGAATAGGTTTACATATATTCTAGTGGTAGCCGATTAGCGCAAAGGCTTCTCTTTGGGAACACAAACTATGGAGATCTGAGAAAATACTTATCTGGCTTTTTCGACACTACAATCGGGTAATTAAAAAATGATCACTCTCTTGCATTTCAATAAGAGTATGATCCAACTACACAAAATCTCATACGTTTCTTGGATACAGAAACAAGAAAGAAAGCAAGAGTTACAAGGAGATCACAGAGACATTAGGAGTGGATGATCCTTCAGAGATTCTTTTTGTGACTGATGTTTATCAAGAAGCTACAGCTGCAAAAGCCGCAGGTAAAAAAAACACACACACACACAAAACTCTAAATCCTATTTTTTTTTTTTTTACTTCGAAACCGGTTAGAGATTCGGTTTTAAGGAACTGACTTTTTTGAGGGTTTCTCAATTCCGGTGAAAGGTGTGGAGGCGATTATATCGATTCGACCTGGAAACGCTTCTTTACCAGAGAATCACGGGTTCAAGACTGTCACATCCTTCTCTCAAATCTAGAGATTCCTCTCTGTGTCTGTTTACTGTGGAGTTTGTAACTTGTACTTGGTGTGAGCACAGTTGCCAAATAAAGTAGTCTTTGATAATAAAAAAAAAAAAAAAAAACTAAACGTAGAGCTTGACAAAGCTCAAATTGGATTTATTAGTGAAATCTGAAAAGGTTTGGTTCATGCATGTGAATTATGCCTTGTAGAAGTGGGCAAAACGTAACCATTGGGACAACTCTTTATTTGGATACTGGTCGGAAATTTTCTTTGTCTATATGGAATTGAACATACTTTTATAATTATTAAAGTAATATAATAATAGTATGTAATAATTTTATAACTTTATATAATAGTAAAAAAATCCGTATAGAAAATTTAGACAAAGCAATATGTTGTATTTTTACATTTTAGTTTATATTTTTAAAAAATTATGTTGAAATGGAACTTAAATGTGCTGTCATATCCTTCTCGTTTTAATGCCTTGTATGAATAACACTAAACATATTTTGGCCATTCCAAATTAGTAATTAATGTTTTGAACATTATGCTGCTGTGAATATAAGTTAAACTGCATTTATGGATCTTGTACTACTAACTAACAGATTGTTTAAGTAGATAGTTCTTAAAAGCATCGAAGAGGGACGCTAATGGGGCTTCTGCTATGTCTTTCCTTTGTCTAACATTATTTTCGGTTAATGAAATATAATTGACAAAAGAAAAACAAATGTAAATAAGTAATAGTTGACTAGCATTTTTTTTGGATATATTCATGATTTAAAAAAATAATCCGGAGTAAAAAAACAAGTAGCCAACAAAGAGTGCACATCTTAACAATGTTTGGTTAATTTATAGAAAGGGGAGATAAATTGGCTAGTTATGGAGAACTTTGACATCAACTTGGTCTTTAATTTAGATACTATAAAATAAAATAAAAATCTTATAAGTTGTTCGGTCGCATATCTAAAAATTGTATATCCAAATTTCGGAATTTTCAGATAATGAGAGTTAGAAAAAGGGTGGCAAATTCAAAGTGGAGTTGCTTGTAATGTGAAGCAAAGATGATTCGCCTTTTGCTTGGTTTTCAACTCTCATCATAACGGACTACTTATTTCGTCTTTTACTTTCTTTTACTCATTCTCTTCCACCTTTTATTTATTTTTATTTTAATTCATTCAAAGATTTTTTTTTTTGTCATTTCAAGTCAAAAGACAAAGCAACAGAAGAACAGTAATACGGTATGGCTATTTCGTTTATTTTTATTTTAAAATGAAAACGAAAGTAAATAGAAAGATAGAGGAGAAAGTCCAAAGAAATGTAGTAAAAGATCAAACGTGCCTCCATGATTACTCCATCAAATTCAAAGTCATCACACTGAAATGGTCCATACTACGTGTCGCACCTGGTCATAAATTTCTTTCAAGACTCAAGTGCCTCTATTCATATTGTCTCTTTGAAAATTTCTACTATTATTAGGGATATTACAATATTTTCATATTACTAGTCAAACTTCCGATTAATACTTATTGACAATGACCATTCGATCCACTCATGTTTTCCAATCGCAACCATCAGAAATTTGATAATTCTTCTATGTTTTCTTGAAGTTAAAATTAAAAATTTTGACTTGGAAAAGGCTTTTTAGGAATATCAAGTCTATATAATAAATTCGAGCATAGACATGGATCTATTCTCTATATTCGATCTCGATATTGAGTGGCACACGTTGAACTACACCATCATATATCCATATGAGCAAACCTACAAACGATCTTTTCATATAAAAAGAATTATAAGTCTCATATCAGTATCATGATTCATGAATATATGTACCTTCCAATTACATAAATTGCAATGAATATTGAGATTAAAAGTGAATAAACCACATAAACTTTACAGTCACTCCATTACTAAGAACTTATAGATATCTTAGTTATATTTAAACAAATTCTGCGAAAAACAAAAATTCAAAAAAAATATATATTTAATTTAATATCATATAAATAATGTGATCACTCGTGGGTCCTCGTCGGGATTTATTGATTCGTCGGGGAAGTTACCGGAAAAAGAGGAAGAAGCAGTGGCTGAGAATCTCTTGGAGTTGAAATTGGAGAAGGATGAAGATAAAAGCCTTTCTCAGCAATGGCTTTTTCTTCTTCAGATGAGTTTCCTAATGATAAAGGCGATGACTTGTTGAAGGGGTCATCGTTGCTTCTCAGTGGAGTCACGGGACTGTTTAGCCCTAGCTTCGGGAAATCTAGCATGCTTGGAGACAGAAGAATATTCTCTGATGAGCTGTTCCTCGGAGAGAATCTTGGGCTTTGATGAGCACTGTTTCCTCCTGAGAACATCAATCTTTGAGAATTTTGAAGCCTTAATGTATTGATCATTAGATCATTTTTAACAAACATGTTGTTGTTGTTGTTCTGTCTTCTCTCGTAGAGCTTGAAACTGTTTGTTTTCTTGATGGGTGGAATCGAAAAACCTCCTTTGTTGTTGTTGTTGTGCACCGGAGAAGGAGCTTCGTGGTGTTTTCCGGTGGTGGTATCAGTGGAAGAGCCGGTGAGCATCTGAACAACTTGTTTGAAAGTAGAAGTGTCTGCTTGAACAAATGTTGTTGGGTAAGGATTTGAGAGATGTTGATGCTGGTCATGCTGAGGAGATCTTGTCTGAGGCTGAAACCTAGGAGATGAGATTATGGGAGATGAGTTTTGCATGATATGTTCTGGTTTTGAAGACATGGATGATGTTGAAAGCTCCATTAATGATATGTCTCTCTGTGTATATATGGGAAGGGATAGAGAGAGAGAGAGAGAGAGAGAGAGAGAGAGAGAGAGAGAGAGAGAATGATTGAAGGAGAAGAAGAAGAAGAGTGGAAGTTGCTGATGTGAATAATGTGCAATGTTGTTTAGTTTTGTCGTGCGACGACAATTTAAAAGACTTTAAAAGTGAGGTGTCATGGACCCATCTCATTCTCTCTTAAAACTTTTTTTTTTTTTTTGTCCTTTGAGAAATTAAAATTCTCACAAAAACCTAATTTGTTAGATTCGTGTTCCGAAGACTCTGTACATCTACATCTTAAATCATCATCATCATTCCTCATATACGAATCATCAAATGTTTGAAAATATCTAGCAAATATATTATTATTTTTGTGTTTGTGTGTGTGGATAATTTGGGTGTGTCGATTATTTTTCATATGGCATATTTTTCTATTAAATTAAAGATATATATTTAGACAGATTTTTTTTTAATAGTTTTGATTATGAATGGACTTATTTAACTCACGATTTCGACGATGTCTGGCATTGAAGTTGATTAATATATTAATTGACACAAGCTGAGCTAACTCACATGATCCGAGTTTAACTAAGTTAATTTCATTTAAAATCTTTGACGCCTTCATATACTGTTAATATATACTATAATTTACCAACAACTGACCAAGTTAACACGTTTGAATTGATATCTAGATTTTGTTGTCCAACTACTATCTCTAGGCTTAGAATTAATAATTCGGGTGGCGTACGTAATAGCTTTTGATACTTTGTACAAAGTATTGATGGAATTGGGCATTTTAATTAATGTCTTTACTTTATATATCGACAAAAAAAAACTGTCATTAATTTGTAACAAATTTGGTGACACAATAAACCACGAGAAAAGTTTTGGCATGAAATATATAGCTATTAAATTAGCCACTAAAGATATGCCACAAATCTCAATTTATTTTTCATCACAATTAATTATGTCTATATAGCCAAATATTAATTGTCCCATACCAAAACTCACCATAATTTGTGTTGAAGCATATTATATGAATGATATTATGGGACGAGGAGACTGAACGCGAAGGTCGTGGTGATCATGGTAGTGTTGGCTAGTCTCGGATTTTGTTACTAGTGACAATGTTTAAATTATTAAAATGACTCTAAAACGATAAATTACATATATCGATGTCCAGCGTGACAAAGGAAAATTTATATTGATGTCCATAATTGTTTTTCTTAATTTTTGACATATTATGATCTATCATATAATATTTTAATATCAATTCAACGTATTCGAACTTAAGACTTTGAAACCGAAGTAGGAAAAATACATACGTACCTGTTTTGGGATATTTATAAAGAATCGTATATTAAAGAATATCAAATCAGGTCTCTAAAACTATGGTGATATTATTGGAATTTGATGACGCCCAACAACATGATATTAGAATAATTCATATAGGCAGAAGAACAATAATTGAGAATTTTCTTTCAGAATCTATACTCATATACTCAATGTTAACAGTGTGACGCTCTAAATTTTGTTTGACATATGGTTATTTTTGTTCTCTTTTCATAAAACCGAAATTCTAACTAATCGTCTGTTCTTCTCACATGTTTATGCTAAAGCAATTTGTAACACAACCGTTTCTTGCTTTTCCACAGCATTGTCTTTGATCTCATTAATTCTTTAACAAGAAAAGAAAAACAACCGTTTATATCAACTTACTTACACACGATAGAAAATTATTACGATCTACAACTAAAATAATTTATTTATCTATGATAACGGGATAAGATCTAAATGCCTATGATTTACGACCCCACATGAGATTTTGATTTATTTTTTGTCTTCCAAATGTTCATGGTAGCATATGATCTAAAATACATGAATTTGTGATATTTGAATTATTTAAATATAAATTTTAAAATACTCCTAATTTGAAACATCGTATTGTATTTTAGGGAAAAAATTTCTTGTTACCAAATGTGTAAGATCAAAATCAAATTAGAAAGACTGCAAAATATGTTTTCACTGCCAAAATTTTGTGATAAAGAAGTTTACTGCCAAAGTAACACCCTATAACTGTATAAGTGCTACTATTACCGTTGGCATTGTGACTATTGTGATTGCCGTCACCATAATCACCAACACTTCTACTATCAACTCGCGAGGATGGAAAATTAGCGATGGTGGCAATAGTATTGGTAATGGTAAGAGTAATTTATTCGTTACAACTTACACATACATTATGTAATGTTCACATGCATTACCATGTTTGAATTAAAGTTATACATAACACAATGACGATGATAATACATACTACTAAATTACTATCCGGGTTATTGTAAATTATGGATATATAATGATGTTGCGTGTTAGAAGTTTGCAAGATTTTCAATCATATAGAAAGGTTATTTTGTAGTTTTTGTTATATTGAGGGTTGTTTTGCATTTGCCCCCTTGTATATGTTCATCTATAATATTTTTGTATTTATATAGTTTCCGCATATATATACCCACTTGTTTTCTTACCCAAAAAGGAATATCAATAATACTGCTAGTTCGTTATTGCGTGAATGAATAAGCATAATTTTTGTTTGACAAGACGTTGTACTAAATGGGTTTTAATTATTTCAATTTGTATGAGATTAATTAACGTGTATAGCATAAAGGTCGATTTTTTTAGATGATATTGTACTTAAAGGTTTTAATATCAAGTTACCACTAGAAAATGCAGTACACACATATTCTCTAATAAAAATAAATCTGTCTCAGTTCGAATATGTTCTCCTTATTGTGAGTTACAACAACATTTACACAAACCAGTGTGAGCACATGAGGAAACAAGATAAAAAAAATAGAGATCGTATCCAATTCTTTACAACTATATATATATATATATTTTTAATGTCAATAAAAAAACAACAAATAATTAAGAAGCCAAAAAAGGGAGAAAAAGAATAAGATAAAAGTAAGAATTGTGGGGACTCGAATTCTGCAATTGGTGAAAATTGTCGTCCCTCCATGAAGGATCAAATTCTTTCAAACTTCAAATCATTAGTGTCTTCTAGAACCCAAGTGGTTAAAGATTCCCTCTTATTGCACAAACATGCAAAGCAAGCATACATATCCATCTTGTTTGTATATAGAAAATTAAGGGAAACAAAGTCTTCTAAAAAACTAAACCTACTTACAAGACTTATTATCATTTTTAGATATATATCACAATGATCAAAGTGCATCACTCACCAATTACATGCATATACACACACATTCAGGTTTTAGTATCTATGGATTTATAAGTCGCAATCGTTTCATGTATTTCAATACGTTTTACGTTTTTAAAATATAGAAATAACTGCAAGACTACAGATTAATCAAGAGACAAGAGTCAACAACCTTTGGATAGATATTAAATTAACTTGAAAAAGAAAAACAAAAAAGAATTGCCTAAATGGCTTCGATCAAAATCCATAGTCTTAGGCTTTAGATAGAAAAATCTATCTAACTATTATTATACGTGTAGAAATAAGAAAAAGAAACATAAAATATTATTTGGAACGTGCTTCTCATTTCTTCATGCCGGTCTTTTCCTTAATAGTCTCACTCGCACCTTGTGCCTTCTCCTTCATCTGCTGTCCAGTCTAAATTTTGTAATTCCAAAAAAAAAACCAAAATTTATTATTTCTCTGCTCGAAATTCTCATAAATACATAATTTGTTTCACAAAAATAAAAGAATTTAAGAGTAAGAAATGAAACTGGACCTCTTGAATAGATTCCTTAGCAGATTGGGCACAGTTGGAGGCCTTGTCCATCAAGTTGCTTGCCTTCTCCTACAACAATTTTAGTTACCTCTAATCAATCTTAATATTAATCTAAACAATTCATTAACCCAAATAGTAATATTTAAGTTAAGAAACGGTGTCGTAAAGAAAACCTGGGTTTGGCCCTTAGCTTGGCCAGCGTTGAAGCTCATGCTCTGACTGTTGCTAGACATTTTTTTATCTTCTCTTCAAGAAAAAAACTTATAATTAGATTTTGTAATCGTGACTTGTGAGGAAATAGCATTACGCGTAGGGGTTTATATACTTGTGTGGGACCCCTGTTGTTACCTCCACGTGGATTTCTATGATTGGGTTTCTGGTACTCTCTGACACGTGGCTTTTTTTTTTCTTTCCACAAGACACGTGGCTTTTTTTAAGCTTAAGTACTACTCTCCTGTTGGATAGGGAGGTTTTTTGACCACGAGACAGGCAAAACCGTTGTAGACTTGTTCCAATGCACTACTTCTTGTAAATTATTTTATTTTTCCATTAAATATTATCACTATACATTTTAAGAAAATATATTTTCATCATTCAGTTAATTTCATATATCGTTTATGCTCAATGCGGTTTTCCTTTTTCAATATTCTGCTAATACTATTGTTTTGGACTCTTGGTAATGTATGATATATATAGATTAAGAAAAAAGAAATCAAAATTTAGGTCGAAACATAACGAAGATGAATGAATAAAGCTTCATACTTATAAACTCACGTCGATAATTATAAACTTCATGTTATAAGTCACCCTCCAACACAAAAAAAAATATTTAAAATTTTGAATAAAAAAATCAAACAAAATCGAGTAAAATGTAGAAAGAAACTTTAAAGAAAATCCACAAAAATCTGTTTCTATGCTTTCTATTCACTATAGTTGAAAACTTTAGAATACAAAAACGAAGTATCCCTGAGAATAGTCTTAACTTGAGACTTTTAGAGCTTATCCTCAAAACAAAACCAGAAAAAAAGTAACAACTTTAAAGATTCCAAGCTACCTAAGATCACAAGGTTTTCTCTTCTAACTACCTGTTGATTCTCATTTTCTGGATTATGATCTAGAGAGCGTAGTAGTAGAGACCAAACACGAGAAGCACCAGAGCCACAAGAGCAGCAGGAATTGCCCAAACCAAGTAATTACTCGACTTCTTACGCTTCAGGCTCGGTCTTGGGAGAGGAGTTTCAAGTCCCCTTCTGTGATTCCTATTCCTTATCTGTTTCTTCCCCTTTGAGACTTTTTCTTCCACGGGTCTCTTCATTTCTTGATCATCAACCTCGTCTTTGTCTTGCTCAGAAGCTTCTGGAACTTCCTCAGACTCTACAGCGTCGTCTCCAGCTTTCTTCTTTGCTTTCCTCTCACGCTCCTGAAAGAACCAAGACGAAGAGATGTCATCCTCCATAGAATTATAATATTAGGAATGAAGAATGAAAAGGTATGTTAAGGATATAAAGTAATTTCCTGTTCTTTCTTCTCAGCTTCCTTTTGAGCTCTTATAGCTGCTTTTGCTGCAGACTTTTCCGCCTGTTTCTTTTTCCTTTCCATGGCTTCTTTGGCTTTAGAAATCTCTTCTTGCCTTCTCATCTCTTTAAGCTTAGCTTCATCAACCGGTTTTGACTCTTCCTTTTGCGGTTTTCCAAGTCCATATACTTCGTCATCATCATCAGAGTTAGGTTTAGCCTCCTTTGCCTTCTTGGTATCTTTAGCTTTCTTTCCAGATTCTTTCTGTGGAACACTAACATCTGGCTTTGGGGCAGAAACTGGATCCTCCTCAGGCTGTTTTGTTCTAGCTTTAGACACAACCTCTGTTTCAGAAGGCATTGGCTTTGCCGATGGCTCTGGAGGAAGCAGAGGATTCTCTTCAGGGTTCCTCATACGTCCATCTCCGCTTAGCTGCCTAGCGTCCAGTGATGGCAAGAGTCTCTTTTCATAATCTTCTCTGAACTTCTTGTCACTGCACCAGAGAGACATGAATTTCTCACCCTGAAAAGTTACAAAGAACCAAAAAACGTAAACCATAAAGACCAAAACGTGTAGAAACACCATGGAAAGCATTAGTTTGTTATCAGAGAGTGAAACCTCGGCATGAGAGAGCGCTTCAAGTTCTTTTACTTTCTTTTGCGCAGCCAAGTCTCTAGCTTTGTTCAACACACCACGGCTTTGGTAAAAGTTTGCATTCTGTAGAAACAATACAAAAAATTACAAAAGAGTATCTCTTTAATCGACAATTCCCACAAACCATTATCACAGAGAATGACAGAAACTTCGAATACCTTGGCATCACGTAGCTTCCTGGTCTCTTGAATGTTTGAATAATTTGTGTCCCTCTTCTCAGTCACAATCTTCAGCTCATCCGTAAGCGCTTGAATCTTGTCTTTTGAAGCTTTTATCTTTTCGCTCAGCTCATTGATCCTCGATGAAATCGCTTGCCGCTCCTTTTTAACTCCATCCAGACCAGAACCCATTGACTAGGGAAACACCACAAAAAAGCTTATATGAACCTTTGCTCACGTAAGAGATCGATAGAAGATTTAGGCTAAGCTTTCCTCTTAACCCTAGTCTCTTGGAAGCTGTTTTCTTATTAATCAATAGAGATCCTTATATAGATCTCGATACAACTTAATCATAAACCTTATGCAAAAAGTAATAAACTATGAAAACCTAATTCATAATAGTAAAACACCAAAACCCATTAATTAAAAAACGCCCTTATCATATTCTACACACCCTAACCATAGCCACGTATCAAAAGCATATCAAACAGTTTCTTTTTCATTTTGTGTCTGAGACCCTACAAGACTTAGCTTTACCTTAACTTGATCTTGGATGTCTTCTTTATGGCCCAATGACTCCTTGATTCTGGCTCTCATTGCCTCATTAGCAATGACCTTACTCCTTGTCCCCTCAAACTGCTTGATCTCTTTGAGAAGCTGCTTCTCTTCGTTTAGCGTATTGCTTTCGTGCTGAATACGATATTCCAAGCCGCGTATCTTCATTTTCACCAACACAGGGAGAATTAGCAAAACCAGAAGTACCGATCAAAGATCAAAAACTATTTTGCTCAGATCATCATACCATATCATTCAGCTCTTGCTCAGACGAACAGATACCACTGCCCCTAAGCTTTCCAAGTGCCTGCTGCAATGGCTCCATTTCTTTCCTCTTCTCATCGAACATGTTATTGAACCCTTGACGCTCAGATTTCAACGGCTCCAGAAGATCGAATAACTCAGATTTCTCAGCCTAAGCAACACAACAAACGAAGTCTCAATATCACAACCAAACCCATAAGTTTTCAGTATTCTTCTTCTTACAAAATGAGATTCAAAACTTACCCTTTTAGCTTTTAACTTCTCGAAAACTCCAGCTCGAGCAAGGTTCAACTTCTGATGTTCTTGGTCAAGCTGATCAAGCTTAGCTTTGATTTTGGGGTCCTCGTAAGAGCGTTGTTTGACAAAGTAGAAAGTATGTCGCAGCTGCTTCTTCTCTGCAGGCCAGTCTTCAGAGACATTTTTGGGAACATCAGATTTTGATACGTTCTTGTTAGTCTTTCCTTCAACTTTGCTTGGCTCACCGTGTGAACCAAACTTGATCGAGACTTGATCCCCTTTCCCGTTCTGCTCGGCTTTGCCCTCCAATGGCGTTGAAGCAGCCTCGAATCCGTCAGAGTTTCCGACCATTGCTAAAGATGTATGTAGTGATCAACTCAACCTCACACGAAACAGAGAGAGAACCTGATATGCCCCAATAACACATATAAAACGTTTAATGTTGGAACGATCTCTACAAAACGAAAAATATAAAAATCTTGACATGATAATCTAAAAATGAAACAAATGGGTAATTTTCAAGTATCGATCTTTAGAAAGGAGAGTTCGATAATTCATCAAAAGCAAGAAACTTGACGATTGAAAACTTAAAAACGGATGATAATCAATCGATTTGTAGATAAATTCAATCTTCATATAGACGATTGGCGAAGAGCAGAAGCGCGATATGCAAAAGAGAACAATTCGAAGTAAAGGTCAAATAGATAGCTACGCAAATCAAAGCTGAGCTCAAACGTCAAATCGAATTCATCTATCGGAAGTCAAATGGCAAGAAAATTAAAACAGAGGACGAAGAACAGAACAAACCCCTCCAAAAACAGAAATTAAAGTAGAAGAAGATCAAGTAGCAACATGATAAACCTAAATTGCGAAAAGGAAACAGATAAATCGGGCAAAGAACAAGGAATGCATAGATTACCGTCAAGGGGTAGAGACTAGAGAGAGAGGATAATTGACGAAAGATCCTTTTAAAGAAGAGGATTAAAGGACTCAGTACGAAATTCTGGAAATAAAATCTTCAGTTTCCTCAAGAATGATATTTTGACTTTTTACTGAATGAGATATTTTAGGTTAATGTCATTTATTAGTACCACATCTACTAAACCGGTATTGGTCACAACTGTGACTCTACTCGAAGACTCATTGGAATCGGTATTATGATTATCCAACATTAAGAGCACGTACACAAATCAAAATAATTTTTTCTTTAATTTTTTTTGAACCTTTTGTATTCTTTTTAAATAATTTCTGACTAACAATTATAGTCAAAAAATTATCTGTATCCTTTTGTATTCTTTTTCAATAATTGAGATAAGAATAACCCTAGTTTATTTTAGTTTTAATTTGCTGGGAAGGATTTAAATTTTAAATGTGTTATATATTCTCTCAATTCAAAACAAACAACACACAATTATCCTCACCAAAAAAAAAACAACACACAATTAACATATACATGCTGTTGGTACGTAGTAGTTACAAAAAAAAAAAAAAACAAACAAACAAACAAAGGCAATGCATGGGTCAAAATGTACAAAAAGAATCTGTCGCTTACGACATAGTTATGAATTATCTTACCAAATATCATGTGGTTAAAGTATGTTTTTTACAGTTAAACAAATTGGAGTGTCAGCTAAAAGTTGTTACTGGCTCCGCCACTGCATATATAGTATCTATATAATTTGATATTTAATTTCCTGCAAACGCTAATAACACCATATGCAATGCAAGAATTCTTAAGATACTTTTTTAAGTATAAATATTAATATAATATAATAGTATAAAGAAATTTTAAATATAAAAGAAAGTAATCAGTTACATAATGACACATGTCTAAAAAAACTTTAGATTCAACTCTTAAATGAAAGTTGCAAAAATCCTTTTTTTCAAATTTCTTGTTTTTTTTTTTTTTTTTTTTTTTTTAATATTTTTTAAAGTTAAGATACTGCCAGCATTGAACATGCTCTTACCACTCTAATGATCGAAAACGAACATGCTCTCGCTTAGATGGCCACTTCCGCTCACAAATTAACCATAATAATCAAAATAATAGACTTAGTTGTGCTGAAGAGAAAAAGAAAGACATGATGTTGGCTGGATATCCAATCTTGTGTTATTAGTCGACTAACCAAATGTCTCTACCACCATTGAGATTTCTCCCTATAAAATGACACAAAATGTGAAAGTTTAAACCAACCCACATATTTATAGTATCTCTCCCTTCAAACAAGAACAATGAAAACCCATTTTCAATTGCCCTCAACAATTTACCATAAATCTAAACAGAGTCAAACCATAGAAGAGCAACAAGTTGAAGAAGAGGCCATCTTGCTAGCGAGGAGGCTCTCGAACGCAGCTGCCTTCCCCATGGTTCTCAAAGCCGCTTTGGAGCTTGGTGTTATCGACACAGTCGCCACCATAGGCCATGGCTCTTGGCTCTCTTCTTCTGAGATATCAATAAGACTCCCAACCATACCTACTAACCCCGAGCCTCCGGTGTTGCTGGACCGTATGTTGCGGTTACTCGCTAGCTACTCGATCCTAAAGTGCCGCAATGTTGTAAAAGAAGATAGCGGTCAAACCGGCAAAATCTGGATGGTATATGGAGCCGGGCCGGTATGCAAGTTACTCTTGAACAATAGTGATGGCTCAGGCTCTTTTGCGCGTCTCTGATGATGATGAACCTTACTGATGTCAACATCAAGACTTGATACTTTATTTTTTATTTGAAAACTAACACACAAATACCATGCATATATTATTTACATTCACTAAACCGCTTATGACCATCTTTTTAAACCGATTTACAATAAATAGTTTCTACTTATATCATCATATTATGACAAACTAGATCTTGTTTATGTTTTTGTTTTTTTCCAGGAGGCATCTCAAAGATGTGATATTAGAAAGAAAAGATGCATTCACTTCTGCCCATGGGATGAAGTTATTCGACTACATGCGGTCAGATAAACACTACTGCAAACAGTGCTGGTCCAATGATTTTAAATGCCTTACACAAATATAACGATATGTATTTTCATATTTTATATACAAAATTATAGAAAAATGATAATATTAGAAAAACCATAGTTAACACTTGATAAAACAGTCCAATTTCAAACTAATAATCCCATTTCATAAATGATATATAAAAAAACAGTAAAAGTAAAAAAAAAGTTGTAGTTAAAATCTTTAAAAAGAATTTTATCAATCAAATTAATAATTATTTGATAAGAAACTTAATAAGTATGTTTGTTAATAAAAGAAGTCATAAACATTGTTTACAAAAACTCGATAAAAATTACTACTATTAAAAAAAAATCTTGAAATTTTGTTTACATATGTAAACATATATATAAAAAGATGTCTCTTATAAATTTGATGCCCTAATCCACCACTTCTATGGCTTATGCCCTCGGCCGGCTCTGACTGCAAACTGTTTAGTCGGGCTATGTCGGATTCTTCTGCTATGTTAATGGAAAATGTTGTAGAAGCTTACGATGGATTCAAAGATGTGAACCCTTTGGTGGATGTGGGAGGAGGACTTGGTAACACACTAAGTCTCATAACTTCCAAGTATCCTCATATTATGGGTATCAATTTCGATTTACCTCCGGTTCTAGCCCGGTATGAATCATGTTTTTATTTGAAAAAAAAAAAATAACATAACATGTATAGGAAAAAATAGAAAATTTTCACTTTTATGGAAAAATGATCAAAACTAATATTCCAATTCACGATTTGTTAAAACTAATAATTTTACAAGGGAATGTTATGACTCTGATTGGTGAGTATTTTTATTTACTTTTTTAGTTATAAATACCAATACTTGTCGATCTCTAGTAAGAAATGATGAAACTGAAGCCAGCGCAAACTCTATCAAAACTGCCAAAATGATAGGAAATGATTGTGCATAACAATAGGAAATGTTAAGTTTGATAAATAAGTTGTGCATAATAGTCCTTACAATCGCAAAATATGACGTCAATACATTTTCTTATATATCTATCTACCAAAACTCGCGAGTTTTGATTTTAGTAAAACTTTTCAGGCATAAAACATGTAGCGGGAGATATGTTTTATAAAGATTCCAAATGGAGATGCCATTTTCATGGAAGTAAGTCCTATATTTATTTCTATTTGAAATGTTAAACACACAAAAAAATATATCAAAAGCATAATAACTTCCAATTATTCATAACAGTGGATCTTACATGACTGGACGGACCAACAATGAATAAAAAATTCTGAAAAACTGCTGGAAAAGTCTTTCGAAAAATGGAATAATGATAATAGTGGAAATGGTTCTACCAGCAGCAGAAGCAGAAGCAGAAAGCGGAGACATATGTTCGAACATTGTGTTTGGTATGGACATGACAATGTTAACACAATATTCGAGTGGTAAAGAGAGATCTCTTTCAGAGTTTGAAAATTTAGCACATGCATCAGGCTTTTCGATCGTTGTGAAATCGTATGTCCTGTTTATCCATTTTTCATCTTATACATTTCGACATACATCCACACGTTCCTGCTTATCTATTTGGGATACTAATGTTTGCGATTATTGGTTTGTGTCTGATTTTACGTAACGCTTGTTGTGTGATCTACGATTGTAATGATATATCAGTGTCTATGCGACTACGTGGTGTAATGTTCTATCAATATGAAAATGGTATTATGCATAAAATATTGTAATTTGGGGCTTTTGATGAATAATGATGAGTAACCAAAAAACCAAAAAGCATTATCATGCTTCAGAGCTGTAGGAGATAAATTTTGTTTTTTTTCTTGGTCATGTTACATAAGCTCGATACTTGGAGTTGGAGCACAATTTAAGAACACACGATCTAAAAAAGATGTTGTAAGTTTAACCAAAAACTCCACATTACATGGGAACATCTGGATCCAACCTTCTCTGGATAGCAGCTGCACCCTGCGTAAATTAAGATTAATGCGAAAAAACGCTGCATCAATAATAAAATCGAAAAAATGAAACTGTGGATGAAGAGACACAGCGAGAGAGAGAGAGAGAGATAGGGTTTATGCATCAAACAAACCTCCATGTCCCCAATCTTGTATAAGTAGACCATTTCTTCTTTTAGCCGAGCTTGCTCTTTCATAGCTTGAGCCTGCCATTCAAACAGATTATAATAACCATCAGAAACCAGCTCAATGGCAAAAGGAAACAGCGAAGATTTCATACAAGAAACTCACCATTCCGCCTTCCATTGATCGTTTTAGAGCCATCACTTCTTCTTCCTTCTGCTTTTCGCGTGCTTCCTGCATCTCTAGCCTGATACATGCACACACACAAAAAGATAAACCCTTTTAAGCAATATGCCTCCACAGTATCACTGCAACATTTTTTGTGACTGCTGATGTTAAAAGTAAGAATCTTTAGTTACCGGCGTTGTTCCTCATCATTAAACACAGTACGTTCATTCTGCCCAGCTTTCTTCAAACCCTTTTTCATCTCTTTTTCCAACTTACGTCTATAGTAACCATCAATGTCATAGTATCTGCAAAAAATTCAGATAGATGAGACCAAAATGAACAACTGATCTTGACCATAACATAACAACTACTCAATAACAGTTATGCAGATTGCATCCACGACAAATAAAGAAGAAGCTTACTTTTTGGAGGTGAATGTACCAGTATTGTGATCCTCCATGAAACTGTGGAAGAATCAATTACAAAACATTTTATCAGAAAACCAAAACAAGCTTTCATATGAAACATAAACTCTGGAGATACATCAGTAACATACTCTTTGAACATTTTCTTCTCTTCCCAAGCTGGCAAGGATTCCAAGTTAACCTGTTGGAACAAGCAGAAAACCGAAAATCAATCAAGAAAATGTAACATCCAAATCAATAAATAGGATGGTATAAGGTTACAGAGTAGATCATATATACCTCTTTTACTTCAAGCAACCATGCTGTGAACTCTGGTCGTTTATTCCTACATATACAAGTAAATCAACAACTTCAATATCTAATGTATATATAGTATAATCCAGGCAATAATCAACAACATTCTCGATTACAATCTCAACAAAGACTCAACATTGAAGAACTAAAATCACATCCATGTAAAAAGCTCTAAGATTTTCAAAAGAAAAAAGATGGAGACTTTACCACATATCAGTTTCTCTGATGATTCCGTACTTTCCCCATGATTCAGTGACGGCTCCTTTCTTCCCTTTCTCAGATTTCTTCTTCTTCTTCTTCTCTTTTCTCTTCCCATCTCCATCAACTCCTTTCTCCTTCCTCCTCTTCTTCTTCTCTTTCTCTCGCTTCCTTCTCTTCCTCTCTCTCTCCTCTCTTTCCCTTCTCTTCCTCTTCCTTCTCCTCCGCTCATCCTCACTCTCACTCTCCTCAGAATCCGTGTACTCCGACGAATAATCCGACTCGGATTCTGATTCCGAGCCCGAGCTGCTACTCGAATCGTCATGATGCTTCCTGCTTCGCCTACTCCGAGATTTCCGATCTGATTTCCTTTTCACTCTCTTCTTTCTACTTCTACGTCTCTCTTCCTTCTCAGAATCGGACTCGCTGCCACTTTCCAATCCCGAACCAGAGTCAGACTCTCTGCCGTCTTTTATTCTCCTCTTAGATTCACGGCGACTCACATCTTCCTCTTCGCCGGCCTCCTTTCCGACACCGCTTGATTTTTCCCGGGATGGTTTTCTTCTGTAGTCTCTGTCCTCGACGTCGCCTTTCGAGTACTCCGGCGGAGAACCGTCGCGGTCTCTTCCCATCTCGCTAAATCGACGGCGAGCTATCTCTCGACACTAGATCGAAGGCGTAATGAAAACCGTATCGTTTAGATTCCCCAAAGCAATGCGAATTGGGCTTTGGTTGATAGAAGCCCATTATTAAAAAACTAATATTGTTGTAGACAAAGGCCCATTAGTAAAGACGCGCCAATACGACAATGACATTGAAATGCACAAAATAATCGTATATATGAATAGGAAATAACCATCAGCATCCACTACATATTATTTAAGAATTAACATTATTGAAAATAGCTGAGTTATCAACACTACAGCTAAAATTAGTGTTTTTAATTGATAACATGTAAATGTGATATGTCAAATTTCTTTAAATAAATGAAATGTTTTGATTGGTTGAATTAAAATTATAAAAATTATAGAATTATAAATACATTATATTATATTTATAACACAAAAATTAACAAATTTAAGTTAACATAAAATAATTATTATTATTATTTCAATTTTTTTACATATATTCATAATTTCATAAAATATAATTTAAAAATTGTTCAACAATATATATATATATGTTATAAATTAATATAAAACAAAACAATAATACTAAATTATCCAATAGAATAGTAAAAATTCTATATATTAATAATACTTGAAGTATGATATATTTTTATTTCGGAAAGTTATTAATTTATAAAATATAGTAATAACTTATAAAAAAGTTTTAAATAAACAACTTATTAAATAATAAAATTTTAAATAAAATACAATCATGATAAAAATAATAAAAAATAATCAACTTTTATAGAAATTTTTTAAAAAATGTAATCTAAAATAAATTTCTTTTCAAACCAATATTTACAAAATGAATAAAGTATATACTAATTATCATTTTTAATATTAATAGGACTATATATTTTTCTATAACTTTTATCATATTTTTATTATTGTTTTATAAAATGTACATAAGTTATGTTACCATCTCATCTTCTCATATTTTAAATAAAACAAAATTTTATATCATATTCATATATATCAAAAATTTGAGATCATAAATAAAATGAAATATAATCAAACGAAAGAATAAATTAAAATAAGATGAAACAAATATGAATAAGAAATAAAAATATAAGTATATAAAAATAAATTTCTCTCACTTTGTTTTACAAAGTCACTTTAAAACTTTTTAACACGTAAGAGCCATATTTTGACTTTTTTATAAATATGCGTACATACATAAATATTAATTGTGCATTAGTTGAAGCCACATACGAACTTTTTCATGCATGTATTTTGTTAAGCTTGATTACAGTCTAATTTTTATTTTAATTATTATAAAATTAATATTTTTTAAAAAAATATTTATCTATTCTTAGTGTAGTGAAATGGTTGGTATGCCCGCACATGAGTGCCAACCATCTATCCGCTCTTATTAAAAAAAATGGTAAAAACTATTTCATTTTAATTTGCAAAAAATCAAGAAAAAATATTTACTTAAAATATATTATATATGTATTTACAAATTCATATTATGTAAGACGCAAAAAAACATATTGTAGATTGTGTAAGGAAAAAGCATATTATAGAAATATTTAAAAAATATTATAAGAATTTAATTATTATTTAATATAACTTTTTATTTGTGATTATATATTCTTACAAGCATTATAAAAATAAAAAGTTTTAAAATACATTAGTTTCAGAAAGAGATTTGTGAAATATTAAAATAATATATATATATATATATACAAACATATCAATGTTTAAAAAAACTAATCAATACATAAATATTACAATTAACTATATATATCAAAAAATATACATGCACATATGTGCGAGCCAACCACCTAGTTTTAGATTAATTTAGAAGTGACAAGTGGCTAACTAAAATTAAAACAACCCAATAAATAATTATCATTAAATAAATTTCATTAGTTAGATATAAAACTGCATTTTATGGAATATGAAACATCTATTTATTTATGATTTTAAATAATAAAACTAAATTAAATTTGAGCTAAAAATAATTTAAGATATAAAGAAACCAGAGAAAACTACTTTTTGTTGTAAAAAACGTAAAAGGATATCTCGAAGCAATTTTTAGCAAAAAAGAAAAAAAATGATAATGCTCGTGAAACTTTGATGATGAATGAACCATTTACATAACAAACAGATATTTATTTAAATTGACGATAAAAGAATATAAAAAAAGAAAATAAACTATTATTTGGGTGATGTGTGTAATAGTCATATTTGATGGTATTTTAAAAGTTAAATAAAAAAGTAATAATTATTAAAATAGAATCATAATTATGTTTGATAGATCTCTCCAAAAATAGTATATAGTGTTATAAATTAATTGATACCATAAACTAAAATATAAAAATATAGATTTATACAACTATATATATATGATATAAAAACTCAATTATTATATTTGTGAAATAATATTGTTCGTGAGAAAATTACAGATTTTTTACGGGGATGTGTGTGTTCGTCCGAGTAGTACAAGTGAGCTTCTTAGATTAGGCTTCGAGGATTGAGCGGTATATACTCCTTGGATGAGAAATGTTTTGGGTCCTGCAAACATTCACAATGGGTGAATCGGGCCTTTGGGAGACCGGAAATAAGTTTCCCTCCCGAAAGTTCTCTAATGCACAATTTAGATTACGTCACGCAGTGAACAGATAATCAAGAGGGCGGACGGATGGTGATTGCTTTATAGCTTGGATATCCCGTCCAAGGATCGTGATACTCTTCTATCATTTGGCAAAGGAAAATGTGAAATGTATGAACCATTGAGAGAGTGGAGGTGGAGCTCTCTCTTAATGGGGATATAGTAAAGAGATAGAGAAGAAGTGAATGCTTATCTTAGTTGGCACTCCTTTGGAGGAACGTTAGAGGATCTTCAGCTTCTCGCCTCCGAGGGATGCTTGGGAGATCTTCGGCCTTTCTTCTCAACTTTAACCTCTTCTTCTTTCCTTATACATATTTTGATTTGTCCCATCCGAGAGACACTTAGAGAAAGTAGATATGCTCACATTCATTGGGGAGTCCGTCATATACCAAGGAACATTTAGGTAGGGAGTCGTTAGACAAACCTAGGCACCAAATTTATCATTTTGGCCGAGCCTATTATCGGTGTATCTTTCACCTATTGGATACAGTAAAAATGAATTCAACAAATATATTATATTTTAAAAAATTTATAAATATAAAATTCACATATACATATTTTATTTTTATAACAAAATATATTTTATCTAAAAAAACGCGCACGTAGGTGCGGATATTAGTCTAGTAATAATGAAAGTGAAAACAAATATTCCCTCCATATCTATGCCTCTCTCATTTGGACAATCTTCAATCCTTTTGATGTTTAATGAGATCGTGTTTGGTGTTTAGCATGTGTTTTCGAAGACCAATTCAACAACATAAAAACAAACAAAAAGAGGAAAGACTCTATTCATATAAATCATCATATGTTTTTGAAGCATACATACACAACTATGTATAGATATACGTATGGTTTAGACAAATACAACAGTGACAAACAATGGCTTATACAGCTCTGGACCAAGCAAGTTATTTACATTAACAGACACAAGACTGTACAAAAAGGAGAGCTTAGAAGAATGAACAAGTAAGTGTGACTCAGAACAAAAAGAGGCAGAGGAGAATGCAGCAAAGGAAGAAGATCGATACCCGATGCAGTGATTTCTCTAGTTGCATCATTCTCTGGCTGTTGTTGTTGTTACCATTGACAACTGATCGCTGGTTTTGGTAAGGATGAGCCAAAGTGTTTGTAAACGTTCCAAACATCCTCGTGTGGACCATGTCCCCGAACATTCCAATCACCGGGTACAACAAACTCATCATGACCGCATTGGCCGGATCAGTCGACGATTCCGTTGCAGTGAAGCCACCGTAATGACGAGGAGAGTGAGCCTGATGGTGCAAGCTCGGGTTGAGAGAAGATGAAGCTGAACGGATCAGGTTGTTTAAAGGGGACGAAGCGGGTCTTTGAGGAATCATCATCGTAGTTTCTGAAGACGAAGAAGAAGAAGACATGCCTCTTCCGTAAAGAGGAACTAATGAACCGATGGAGATGTTGGATTTGCATACAGGGCAGTTTTGTTTCTGAATAATGGAGGCAGAGGATGATTTCTGCACATCTAACCATCTGTAAATGCATGGCCAGCAAAAGAGATGCCCACACAGAGTGACCACTGGATCGTGTGCAGAGTCTAGACAGATGTTGCAATCGAAGCAGCCACTTTCGTTAGAGTTAACTTCAGTTGGGACTGCGATGAGATTAGGCTTTTGTGTCAGTACAAAACCATCACCATGTGCTCGTTGAGCATCAAATCTGAAGAAGTTGCCTTCCATGGCGGCTAGTAATATCCTGATACAGGGACAACACAATAAGGTCAGGTCATAATTCATAAGCTAAACTATCTCTCACACTAAACGGTATGCATAATATCATAAAAAAACTCGTCTCCGGTAGAGTAAAGAACTGAATAGCCAAAGAACACTTTGACATTGAAAATACCATTAATCACAAGATGCAGAAAACAGTAATGGTGAGGATATGAGAACCCAACAAACAAACAAAAATCTCTTGAGATTGAAATAACACTCACTCAGAAAAGATACCAAGTTATGTCACTGAAGAGCTCATAAGAGGCAGATAGATTCATCAACGGAAGCTTTAGCTAATAATCTTACAAACTTGAATTCTTATCCTGACTTTATTAATTCTGTGAAATGGTGATTCTTATCATCTATCTCCGAATTAGGTGAAAACAAAGCAGATGTTACGGATAAGAAAGAAAGAGAAAAGCCGATGATTGATCTGATTTGACTAACAATGTTGAAAGATCAAAACCCCTAAAGCAAGTCAATCACAATGCAAAAGTTATGATCATTTGGTTCGGCCAAGAAACTACATTTTCGATTCCAAGCAAATCATTAACGATGGATATTTTCATTCGAATTGCGAATTTCAATACTCTGGGAGAAAGAAAAAAAAACCCAATTTTATTTTTCCTAAATCCAGAAAATTTGGAGGATTAGCAATCGGATGAGAATGGATAATGATAAATCCTCAGATTACATTCATCGAACCCGCAACAACAACAAACACTCAAGAGGATTCAGACGGCGAAAGAACTCACCGCGGCGGAGATAGACGACGGCGATTATAAAAGCTCGAAATCGCGAAGGGGAAGGCGGAAGAAGAGGGATCTCAGGGGATTTCGAAAGATTTTGAGAGAGCAAGAAGAGGTAGAGGTGATTTCCACGTACGCTTTGATATGATGATGTTGAGGTTAGTGACGACCACGATAATGATTGACGACTTGTTCTTCGTCTTTTAGCTATGGCAAATTATATCTATTAAAATTATTCAAAATACATAAAGAATACACTTTTTTCAAATAAAAATATCTTTGAGAAGAGGATAATAATTGAGGTCGCTTGGAAACAAAACACTTATTTGGATTAAGCTAATCTTTAAACATTTTCAGTTTTTTTTTTTGCGCAAAACACTTGAAACAAAATAAACTATAAACTAACGCACGATAAAACAAAACAGAGCAATACTTTAAATTTAAGTTAATAAATAACTAAATTGATCAATAATATTGTTTAATTTTAGATTCTACTCAAAACTGATGGTAATTCGTTAAAATGATTTCCCTATTTTTGTGATCCTTTTGGCGGTTTATAATAATATTAATTACTAAGATGACTTTAATTTCTAATCAAATTTAATGATTTTTATTTAATAATTGAAATCGTTTCATTACCTTACTGTTTTGAGATTTTATGGTTTGTCTCTGTTTTGATTTGTCTTCTTTTTGTAATGTGTAATGGAATTCACAAAAAACTGTACATAATGGAATGTAACATTAATTCTTGAATTGTAGAAAGAACATTTGACCTTAATGTTAAACAGAGAAAAATTTAAAAAGCAGATTTAAGGAAGCTTCATCTTCGGGCATCAGCGTAAATTATACTAAACTAGATGAGTACCCGCGCGATACGTAAAATTTTTTCACAATATAATTTATCAAAAAGTATAGTTACAATTTATTTTATCGTATATTTAAATTATTTTTAAGGATGTTGAGTATTTGAATAAACATATAATATGTATTTACATATTATGTGGGTATTAATTATATATGTGATAAATAATTTATTGATAAAGAAATATAAAATATGTTATACCTTGTATATATAGAATATATTAAATTGATATACTGCAAATCAGAGAATTGCTATATAATAAAAATTAATTAGAAAAACTCTTCAAGCACAACATAGATAGAGATGATCTTTTTTAACATGTCGTATTTTTTCACGGCGCAGATTGACACAATAGCAACGCCGTTATTTTATATATTTCTGAGCTTAAATAATTAATTTATGATTCTAATATATACAGCTGCATTAAACATTTTATAAATAGATATATTAAGACTTTGATATTTTATTAATTTAGAAATTATTAATGGATCAAGTTTGAATAAAATAAATTATCAAATAATTAATAGTTTATAAATAAATTGTTTTAAAGTTTATTATAATATTGTATAATTTTTTCTTCAAACTTTTTTAGGTTAAAAATATCAAATAGTTGTTATTTTATATTTGTATAACTGTATTTATAATAATAACTTATCATATTAATTAAAAATAAAAAAACACTCTTAAATAAGAAACATAATTTTTTTTAATGATTTTAAAAAACTACCACAAAATAGATATTCAATAATTATTTTGAATATTAAGTATATATTGTTATTAAAATATATTATCTAATATTTTGTATTTTTCATATTTTTAGTATTATGATTAATAATACATTAAATTTATGTATTAACTGTATTTTATATAATTTGTATCATTAAATTTTAAGATAAACCAAAATGATGAGGTGGCACTCATATGGAGAGAGTTCACCATCTTTTATAGTATAGATTGTCATCAAAATATCCACTTTTACACACATTTAGTCATTTTTTAAATTTACATTTTTATCAGCAGATCTAAGTTATTTACACACAAACACTTTACAAGAAATACTTTTTGAAACTAAAGCATTTTTCATCTTTTCTTTTTATCTATTTCAACTGAATGCTCGAAATTATCTTTTTCAGACACAATTCGATAAACTCGGTCTAATAGACAGAGCTCGATGGATACATATTATTTTTAAATTATAGTTACAATATGATTTGATGAACATTAAGTGATAGTGACAATGAAAAATAACAAGAATGTAGTACACAACGCGTGAACGCGAATGGGTGGACAGTGGACACAACACATGGACGAGAATCAATTTTCATCACTTGAACACAATGACATAATTATCAAATCAAATAGCAAAAGTGTCTTAGTTTCAAAAAAAATGTCTCTTTTGTAATTGATAACTCATAAAGTGCATTTATGTGTAAATAACTCATCAGATCTTCACATCACATGGCTATCTGTCAAAGCTTTAAGTTTTTGATTACTCTGTTTCTATTATTCAAATTGGTGTTATTAAAATCATTAACAAAAATAAAAATTTTAATAAAATATATGAGTATCAATAAATTGTCAAAGTACATGATTTTTTTATCCTCATGTTTAAAAATATCAATCAAATGAAGAAAATACTATAAAAAAAAGACTTTAATACAAAAAATATTTGATAGTGCAAATACCCTTTATTACAAAACGAATGTAAGGCATGCTTGGGAAGATTAATGGCCAACATAAGTCAGAAACTGTACTAACGGTTAAGCAACATTCTTTCTTGATCCCATGAAAATGCCCATGTATAACTCCCTTTAGACTATCGAGACATCCGCTTGATGTTGTCTTAAATGCATTCAAACATCCTTGGGGATCCGTCGGTTGAGCACTCGAACGAGACCAAGTCATTGCAACTACAAGAACGATGATCAAAAAAGTAGTCTTCATTATAGTCTTAGGTTCCTTTTTCGGTTATTAATCAAATTAGAAACCAAAAGAGTTTAGTTTGTAGTACTTAATATTTATGTTGATGGTGATGATGATGGAGCCCATTTATACATGTTTTATACAATCTCTTTCAATAGAATGACTAGATATTAATTTACTCTATTTAGTAGTTAATTTTATACATTTTCATATGTCAGATATCAAAATGTATAGTTCCAAGTACCATGATATAAATTCCAGATCATTTCCTTTATAAATAGATAATGTGTTATAGCATGTTTACATAATTATGTGTATGTGGACATGTATTATAGACACTACTAGATACATTAGCTAAGGGAGCTTATTAAATCATGGATTTGGATTATTTTAGATTTGATTGGATCTTGATAGGGATTACAAAATTTATAGAATTTTTAGTTCTATTTTTAAAGAGCTATTAAAAATATAATATTTTAGACTGCAGAAAGAAATAAAATGAAAACTCAAGAACCTAGAAAAGTTTAAACGAACTTAGCATAAGAAATTGTTGATCAAACCAATTTTATTAGAAGATTTTTTACATAATATTTAAGTAGATAAAATCTTTAAACTAATAATAATGAATTCTATTGAAATTTTAAGAATATAGAAACTAATAATGATATAATCTCAAAATTTCAAAAGTTTTTTAAAATCCACTTCCCAGTAATCTGTAATCCTTCTTAGACTTGATTATAGTTTTTATTATTTTATTTTAAATATAAATGTACTAGATTGTTTATTTTTACTGTTTGGCTGTAAAGTTAAAAGATGGCTAGAGATTATGAAACTCAATTATAAACCTCTTAAAGAAACATAAATAGAGTAAAAACAATATTATTGGTTCTATGATTTTAAAATTTATATTCAAATTCAGTGTTAGTTTTATGATTTTAAAATCTATATTTAAATTATGTGTTATTGGTTCATGATTTTAAAATTATAGATTTGATTTTAAAAAAGATTTTAGTGGATTTGGAAAGATTGTCATGTTAAAAATACAAAACTCAAATCCAAACTTAAACCTATAATTTTGTAAAATCTAATATGTTACCTTTTAAAATCAATAAATTGTACAAAGATTATATTTATTCTTAATTAAACAAAATACATAAACCAATGACATCTTCTTGATCTGTCCATCATATTACTATAGTTACTAATAATCTGAGTTCTTTTTATATTTTGAATAAATTCTTCATTCAGCTTTTTCTTTAAACTTATACTCGGCTAATCATACTCCTTTTGCTAGAGCTGCACACTCCAAATCTAAATAAAACAAAACAGACAATCATCACCAAAACAAAAAAACTGAAAATATATTTTTAAATTAAGAACTAAATAATTCAATAACATTATTTAATGAAACTTAGTAGCTCCAGCTGATTTCAGCATGGCCAGAGTTGGACGCTGCCGTTTCATGCTTGTTATTATTCTTCCGTTTTCTTCTTTTCTTTGAAGACGGTTCTTTTTCCCCTTCATCCACCATCTTGTTCTTGCTGCTCTTGTTCTTCTTCTTTCGAGACGACTCTCTCGTTTTCTTACCAGGAGTGTCTACCACTGGAGTAATGTCTCCATTCGCAGTATCACCTCTTGGGAACGAACCTTCCTCGTCTTCTTCAAGTTGCCAATTGCAGAAAAGACCACCATTGCTCTTGTCATTACTCGACATTGGCAATGGCTCTCCTGCTCCGGGAAGCAA